AAAACTGGGTTAAAATCGAATCGTAGAATCGTAGGATTTTAAGTACCATATAGAAATTAACATACGATAATATTAATAAGGTAAATAATTAATAACACAAAGACTTATAACATTTAAAGTGATAATTTTCAAGATTAATATTCCAAAATCATCATTTTAATTGTTATTTAATGTGTATCTCAAAATAATTTATGAGGAAGGGATAGAGCTCATGGGGTTTGGATCTTGTTTTTCATGTTGTGTCTAGGTTGTTTAACTCAAAGTAGTATTCCGACATCGTCTACTAAGCATGATTTAAAACTAAGAATAACTGAAATCCAGTAAAATAATTAATGTCATTGGTTTGGTACAAATATATTCATTAATAAAATAATTTATTAATAATGATGTTAATTCTTACGCACTAACAATATTTTGACAATTGTTTTACCGATGAGTTAAACAAGGAGAAGGGAAAGGGGTTGACCGAACCCTAATTAGTTTTTTTTTCTTCTTTTCAAATGTTCTTTTAATAGGAAAATATGAGAAGATCTCCGTCATTGCCCTTTCCACCGAAACAATTCTACTTTTTTTGAATTGGCTCAAGCTCCCTATTTTGTTCACATAGGATCAAAATCCCGATTTTGGTACTATTTTACGATTTTAATCCCGATTTTGAACGATTTTAAGGTCCATCGCTTTTATAGTAAAATCAGGATCGGAATCCCTAAGTAAAATCCTAAAATCCTACGATTTTACGATCAAAATCCCGATTTTGACTGCATTGCTAATGAGGTAGAGATTGGTGTTAGTTCGCAGCAGTTTGGAGATTGGATCTGTGATATGAAATTGGAGCAACCTAGAGCTATTGGTCCTTAGTTTACGTGGACAAACAAGCAATCTAGGAATCCTAAAGCAAAAAAGCTCGATAGAGCCTTGGTCAACACTGAATGGATTGGCTGTTTTCTTAATAGCATGGTGAGGATCCTTTCTCGAGGACTTTCGGATCATTGTGGCATTCTCATCATTACAGATACAGCTAGTAAGAGGCTGCCGCGGCCTTTCAAATACTTTACCTTCTGGTCTTTGCATCCCAGCTATCAGCAGCTAGTCCAGGAAGGGTGGCAGGAGGAACAACGAGGAACTGCTATGTACATTCTCTATTGGAAATGAGAGAAGGTCAGGGAAAAGTTGAAAAAACTAAATAGGGTGCATTACTCGGATATTCATGAAAGAGTTGACGTGGCAAAGGCAGCTCTATCTGTTGCACAGCTTGAAGCCTTGGAGCGCCATGCTCATGATTCTTTTCAAGAAGAACGGGAGTGTATGGTCCAGCTTCTTGCTTTACAATAGGCAGAAGAAAGCTTCCTAAGGCAGAAATCTAGGCAGGCATGGGTTAGCAATGGGGATTCCAATTCGAGGTTTTTCTATAATGTGGTGAAAGCAAGAAATTATAAAAGAACAATACGCATGTTGCAAAGGGAGGATGGGAGTATAGCAACAGGAGATGAGGAAATAGGAGAGGAAGCTGTCCAATTCTATACTCAACTTCTTGGTACAGAAGACAAGACTGTCTCCCCGTTCTCGAGTGAAACTATCAAAAAGCTACTGATCTGTTTGTTAATTGGATTAAAGTTTTCTTGGAAAGTGCATTATTTAGAGTTTGTGTGAATTGGGGGTTAAGTGACAACTTTCAGGCTCGAAAAGGATTAAGACAGGGGGATCCATTATCCCCCTATCTCTTTGCAATTACTATGGAAGTATTGACGTGTATGTTGAAAACGGCTGCAATGTTAAGGGTGCTTCCTCATCATCCGCAATGTCATCAAGTGGGGCTTACCCACCTATGCTTTCCGGATGACTTGTTGATCTTTACAAAAGGGACTAAGGAGGGGGTGAAGACTGTGGCGGAAATCCTGGAGCAGTTTGCAAAGATCTCTGGATTGCATTGCAGCCCAACGAAGAGTGAATTGTTTTGTGCTGGAGTGAGTGTTGAAACTCGTAGAGAGCTTATAGATATATCTGGGTTCCAGGAGGATTCACTTCGATTCAGGTACCTAGGTGTACCTCTCATTGCAGGAAATTTAGGGACAACTTACTGTAAAAGTTCGGTAGACAAAATAACAAAAAGAATTCAGGGGTGGAAGCCAAAACTGCTTACTTACGCGGGGAAGCTGCAGCTCATAAACTCAGTTCTTGCCAGCATAGTTCAGTTTCAGTTACCCCAGCAGGTTATACAAGAAATTGAGAAACGGTGCTCTGATTTTCTTTGGGATTCACCTGACCCGAACAAAAAAGCTAAAGTGTCCTAGCAGAAAGTAGCTTTGCCAAAAAATGAAGGTGGGTTAGGATTTAAGGATTTGAAATCTGGAATACTGCATGTATAATTAGGCATATATGACCTGTGTTGTCTGATATGGACACTATGTGGATTGCATGGTTAAAGGAATAACGGTTGAGGAACTTGTCAATATGGGATAATCAGATTTCAGGTTCTTGGGCTTGGAACGGAATTCTGCAGGCTCGTTCTATGGTTGCAGATCAGTTCCAGTGCTCAGATCAAGGGGTTATGTGGAAGGGTGTGAAAATGGAAAAGTATAGTATCAAGTAGATTTGGGAGCATATCAGATCAAGGGGAGAGTTGCTGCCTGGATATCAGTTAATCTGGGGTCAGTTTCAGATCTCTAGAAACTCTCTGTTAGTATGGCTTGTCATGATTGATAGAATCAACACTCTTGATAAAATAAAAAAGTGGAAGACTGATGTAGATGAAAGCTGTCCTCTATGCATGATCTTACCAGACAGATTGTGTAGAAATCTGGATCTATGTAAAACATATGAGTCTAGATCGTACTTGATGAAATAAAATCTCCTCTTTTCATAAAAAAAAATCAAATATTCAACTTGACTTCCAAAATAGGGCTAGGTGAAGAGAAAAATCGAAAAATAGGCGCATTTCACAAACCAAATGAGAAAAACGACACCGTGCGATCTCCAACCCTGTAACCTTGCAGTAGGTCAACCTAGCGGGTGTGTGCAGCCCATTTTTCTCAACGTTTTAGGATCAAAATGGATCAATCAACCCGCGGATTGACAAACTTAATGTAAACTCAACTCTCAACATCCACATTTGTAGGGGTGGGAATCGGTCGGTAAACGGTAAATTGGTTACCGAATTTACCGGTTTCGGTATACCGACACTGGCAAAACCGTTTACCGTTTACCGATACCGATTTGTACCGGTTTACCGATTACCGACTTACCGGTAAACCGGTTACAAACCGGTTTACCGATTTACCGCAAGGGCGACGTGGGGGGCGGGTTTTCGGCTCGGTTTACCGAAATTTACCGAAACCGAATTTATGTTAGTGGCAAGATGTTGTAATATTTTGATTTTTCTGAGTTTTTTTTCTTCATTTTTGTAATTAATAATTTATAACATTTTTTAGGCCTATACTTACTTACATTCATGTATCATTTGTAACTCTTATTTATAATATCTTTCTTCATGATGTATGTAATATTTGTATATGTTATATGTTAATGCCATAAGTTATAACCTAATATTTGAGTTCAAACACTAAGTTGCTATCTATTATTTATTAATCTATTTAATTTAACATAAGTTCAAAGGGTCAACAATCATGATTCATGAATCAACATCAACTTTCATCAAGCATCATCATTCATCAAATATTCAAATTCAAAGGGACAATGATAATGTCTAAATTCAACACAAGTTCAAAGTCCAAACTTAAAAAATTAAAATAGACAACCAAATAAGTTAATAACCAATAGCTCATGCTCCTCCTTCTCCGGTAGAACTTGTAGCACCACCAACATTTGCACAACCTTTCTTCTTCAAAGTCGTAAGAAGAGTATCAGCGGGATCATCATCGGCATCTTGGTTCATGTCTTCGTCGGACTCGGTGGATTCTTCATCATCACCCTCCTCCTCCTCCTCCTCCTCCTCCTCCTCCTCCTCCTCCTCCTCCTCATCATCATCAACCCCAACAACAGATCCATGTGCTGAGCTTGGGATGTCACTTGAAGCTTCCACTCGAGATTGGAAAGTATTAGTAACTAGTGCAAATAAAATACACAAATGTTAGTATGTTACTAATGGAATGGTTTAAAATTTAAATAGTAAAGAGTATAGACAAATTAGAATAATAAATTGAATTCTTACCACTTTCATAATCGATTATCTCTTGATCTTCTTCCTTATCATTCAGTTCATCTGCAGTCTTTCCATTTTCATATCTTATCCAATCTTCAGCACATATCAATGCCTCCACAATGTTTGGGCTTAAAGAGGACCTGAAAGGACTAAGAACTCGACCTCCACAACTGAAAGCGGACTCTGATGCAACAGAGGAGACTGGAACTGCTAATATATCCCTAACCATCTCTGAAAGAATGGGATATCTAACACTGTTCCGAGCCCACCACTTCAGAATATCAAACTTCCGATCATCAATCTCCTCATTAATAGCATCACCAATATCTCTCAAATACTGCTCCAACTCACCAGAACCTCGACCACCCCTCTCAATTTGCTCCTTTCTCTTCTGCTGGAACCGAGCTTCAAATGCGGACTCCACAGAAAAAGATCCGTCACTAGTCTCAGTCGGAGTAGTAGTCTGGGTAGTAGGCACAGAAACAGAGGATGAAGTTGCATACTTCATCTTGTAGACATCATACAATGCCATCATCTCCTTCTTTACTTCATCTGCCAAAGCTTCCCCTTTTGAAATCCCATACATTTCTTCCAACATCATAGTCAAATAGTCTAGCTTACGCCTGGGATCCAGCACA